CAACAATACTCCAGCAAGCCAAGAATACTCCATGGAGAAATGAGTATCTTCATTAAACGGTGCTAGGAAAATTGGATATTCATGTGAAAAAGAGTGAGATTAGATCCCTGTCTTATACTACTCACAAAAATTAATTCAGAATGAATTAAAGAATTAAATGTAAGGCCTGAAATCATACCTAAAACTCCCAAGGGAAACAGAAAAAAGCTCTTTGATGTTGTCCTTGGCAATGATTTTTTGGATGTGAAGCCTAAAGCATAAGCAACAACATAAAAAATAAACAAGTAGGACTACAACAAACTGAAATGCTTCTCTGCACAGCAAAAGAACCATAGGAGACTCTTAAATACAGAGAACAAACTGAGGTAATGGAGGAGGGTGAGGGTGAGGTAAATGGGTGACAAGCATTAAGGAGGCCACTTTTCAGGATGAGCCCTGGGTGTTATATGTAAGAGATGAATCTCTGAGTTCTACTCCTGAAGCTAAGATTACCCTGTATGTTAACTAATTTGAGCATAATAATATAATAATAAAAGAAACAATCAACAAAATGAAAAGGCAACCTATGGAATAGAAGAAAATATATCTATAAACCATGTATCTGATAAGAGGTTAATATCCAAACTATATAAGGAACTCATACCTCAACAGCAAAGAAACCAAATAATATAATTTAAAAATGGGTAAAATATCTGAAAAGACATTTTTCCAAAGAAGATATTCAAATGGCCAACAAGTTCATTAAAAGGTAGCTCATCCTCACTAATCATCAGGGAAGTGTAAATCAAAACCACAGTGAGATATCACCTCATACCTATTAGAATGGCTATCATTAAAAAGATAAGAGGGGTGCCTGGGTGGCTCAGTCAGTTGAGCATCCGACTTCAGCTCAGGTCATGATCTTACAGTTTGTGAGTTCGAGCCCCACATTGGCTCTGTGCTGACAGCTTAGAGCCTGGAGTCTGTTTCAGATTCTGTGTCTCCCTCTCTCTCTGCCCCTCCTCAGCTCGTGCTCTGTCTCTCTCTGTCTCAAAACTAAATAAATGTTAAAAAATTAAAAAAAATAATTTCTGGGGATATAATGTACAGCATAATGACTATAGTTAACAACACTGTATTGCATGTGTGAATATTGCCAAATGAGTAGGTCTTATGAGTTGTCACCCTAAAAACAACAAACTCGTAACTATAAGGTGATGTATGTTAACTAAAATTTTTGTGGGATTCAATCATTTTGTAATATATACAGTATCAAATCATTATTCTTAAACTTATAAAATATTATGTTAATTATATTTCTTTCTTTTTTTAAATGTTTTTTTTTTTGAGAGAGAGAGAGAGAGACAGAGTATAAGCAGGGGAGGGACAGAGAGAGGGAGACACAGAATTGGAAGGAGGCTCTAGACTCCAACCTGTCAGCACAGAGCCCGACATGGGGCTTGAACTCATGAACCACGAGATCATGACCCAAGCGTAAGTCAGTCACCCAACTGACTGAGCCACCCAAGTGCCCCATGTCAATTATATTTCAATTAAACTAAAAAAATGAAATAGAGATAAAAATAGACAAGACAAAATATACAGAATGGCTACATTCTGCCCATCCCCAATCTCTTACCCTTGGACTCTATTCAATAGTCACTACCATTTGCTATTTTGTTTTTAGTTCTTCTGTTTCCTCCATCACTTTGAACTCTATGCTTATTTCTGTATTTCTTCAATAATCAATGTTAATGAATTTCTATTAGTTGTTATAAAAGATAACATTTATTTCACTTCATCCTTGATATTCTTTTCATTTTTTGGGAATATTTGTATTTTAAAAATTTTATAGATTACTTTTGTAACTGTATGCCTTTAATTCTTTGGTCTATCATCTTTATTTTTTAGGGTTTACTATTTATTTTTGTACTTCTTGGGATTCTGAAATTTTACAATAGTATAGCTTTGTCTAAGTATTGATTTTTTGCTGGTCACAAAGTAGGCTAATCCATCTGGGAACTCGTGTCCTTCATTTTAAAAGAAACTTTGTTCTATATTTTTCTTGATAATTTTCTCTGCCTTTTTATGTATATCTGGATATTTTAGTATGTTAAAATTTTCTTAATACTAGGCTACCATTATTAATACTTTATTTTCTTCTTACGGTTTTACTCCTTTAAAAATTGTACTTCCTAGAGGATTTGCTCAATTTGCCTTTCCATGTTTTCCACTGAATGTTTTTTATTAATCTTCCTGATTTCTAAGTAGATTTTTTAAGTTTATTAATTTTGAGAGAGAATACACGTGTGTGCATGAGTAGTGGAGGACAGAAGGGGAGGGACAGAAAGGGAGAGAGAGAATCCCAAGCAGGTTTTGACCTGTCAGCATGGATCCCAGTGCAGGGCTTGATCTCAAAAACCATGAGGTCATTATCTGAGCTGAAATAGAGTCAGATGGGCTTAACCAAGTAAGCTGCCCAGATAGCCAGTGATTTCTAAGTAGGTTTTAAAAATCTACTTTCCTACCATTTCTTAAATTTTTTAAAAAGTTTATTTATTTTGAGAGAGACAGGGACAGCATTGAGTAGGGGAGGGGCAGAAAGAGAGGGAGAGAGAGAGGATCCCAAGCAGGCTCCACACTGTCAGCACAGAGATGGATGGGGGCTTGAATTCACGAAACCATGAGATCATTACCTGAACCCAAACTGAGAGTCAGATGTTTAACTGACTGAGCAAGCCAGGCACCACCTACCTTTTCTTAATTGATGGGTACCCAAAACATAAAATGCTTAACCAATTAAACTCTCTTTGTTGAGTTTTGATACTGATAGTATGGTGGTCTTCTCTAAGATATTGGAAAAATCATTATTTTCCTTCTTACTTGAAGTGTTTAAATGGCACTGGACTTAAATGTTGCCTATATATCTTCAAATACTGACATTTCCCAACCTTAACAATAGCCTAAACATTTTTTTGAAGAGATGAAAGATAATCCATTAGGAGGAGAAATTCTGAAGTCATATTGGCTTTGGAAAACTCTTACCACAGGAAAGGGGTAAGAGTGCTTTCAGTGAATCAGACTTAATCAGGGGCAAGCTGGGAGCCAGAGAAAACTGGCCAGTGTCTGTAATTTTCCCATGTCACTTGAGGCCCATCTTTGATTCAGAAGTCTGAATGAGGAGGGATGACAGAAAGTACAGAAAATGAGGGAGGAAAGATGAGAATTGTTTTCCTTGCAGAATGCAATAGTTGAGAATGCAAAAGTTCAATCAACAGGGTCTTTCTGAAGACACTCTGTAGTGCCTCAGTTTACTCTAAGTCTGGAATATCAACTTTTGATAGTGTTTCTTGGTGTGTTAGACAAAAAGTTTGTCTCCTACACATAAGATGCAGAACAATAGCCTTCATGGATTTTCACACCTTCTGTAACTGTGTCATGCTTATTCCTAATGACGAATCCCTTATTCCATATCACTCTGCTTTCTTGATCAAATCCTAACTAAAACTGTGCCTTTTTTCATATCACACATTGAACTTTTTATTTAGGCAAATATATCTATGTTTTTATTTTCCTACTTCTGGGTAACTGTCTTGTCTAAGAAAGTCTCCCTCAACCTAATGTTACAAAATATTCCCCTTATTTTTCCTAATATTTTTATTTATTTATATTTTACATTTAGAGCTTCAATTCACATAGAATGTATTTTTATTTATATTGTAAGGTAAGGTGATTTCTAATGTTTTTCCTTTAAGACAGATAGCCAATACTACTTTAAAGTCATTCTTTAAATTTGTTAAATATTTATTTATTTTTGAGAGACAGAGACAGATTATGAGCAGGGGAGGGGCAGAGAGAGGAGACACAGAATCTGAAGCAGGCTCCAGGCTCTGAGCTCTCAGCACAGAGCCTGACGCAGGGCTCGAACCCACGAACTGTGAGATCATGACCTGAGCTGAAGTCAAATGCTTAAGTGACTGAGCCCCTCAGGTGCCCCAAAGTCATTCCTTAGTATATATCAAGATAGCCATTATACTGGGATCTATTTTTTAACTTTCTGTTTTGTTGGATCTACTTCTATTACTTGCCAATGAAATTTTGTTTTCATTGTAGTAGTTTTATTGTAAGGGCTAATACATGATAAGGCACATCTCCATTCTAGTTTTCTTGTTCATAATTTTCTTGGCTATAGTTAGACACTTATTCTCTCATTTATTCTTTTAAATCATTTTCTAATAAGACCCCACCAGGATTCTGAAATTTTTATATTATTATATATTTTATGATAAATATTTATGAGAAGAAGAGTTAAAGCAGATGGTCAATAATCCATTAACTTACTGAGGGGATGCCCTTGGAGAAAAGAAAAGAAGGTAAGTGACCCGGTTTAAAATCCTTGTCAAATGGTCCTCCAGGTAAATAGACTAATGACATTTGCTATGGAAAGAGACATTATGTTTGAAATGTCCTTAATGGTAGTTTCTGAATGTTTGTGAGTTTCAGACAGAATTCCCTTAACCCATGAATACTTTGGTGTGTATTTTCTTTTAAAAATATATATACTTATATGTACACATACATATACACATACACCCACATGTACACACACACATATACACACATGTATATTACTCTCACACAACCAGTACAATTATCCAAAGTAAAAGAGTATGATTGCTACAGTACACTTAACTAATGTACGGAATTTACTCAAATTTCACCAATTGCTCCATGACATCATCGATAGCAGTTAAGCATTAAGTTGTCACATCTCTTTATTCTTTAATGTGGAACAGTTCTTCAGTCTTTGTACTTTATGATTTTCACATTTTTGGAGAGCCCAAACCATTTACTTTGTAGAATATCCTCCAATCTGGATGACAGGTTTTAAAAAATAACCTAAAGTTTATATTTTCCAACAATCTTTAGGCATTAAATTCTACAGCTTTACGACTTTTCCTTTCCTAGGCTTGTACAAAGTCTAGTTGTTAAAAGGTTCCAGCTGCATTGTTTAGGCTTACCACTAACTGGCAGTGATGTCACCAGCTTTGTATATTCCGTATCAGTGAGTTCAATCCCCTTATCTCTCAGTAAATTTTCCAGGTTATCGACATCAATCTTTTCACCTTCAAAAAGTTAGAAATAGGTGTACATATTATTGATGATCTCAAATTTTAGGTTGAATAGCAAAAGCACAATGTAGCCCTCACCCATTACACAGTCTTGAAATCTTAGTTGATCTTTCAATACTGATTGATAAGGAATCTTTAAATTCTGGGAAAAATAATTTCTATTACTGTTCAAGTAATCCACATAGTGGCTATTGTAATCTTGTAAGAAAGTTTTACTTGATTTTATTGGTAATGTAATTGTTGACATTGTTAACTCAATCCTTCAAAAATTCACAGTTCTATGTAATCCAAGACAAACTTTCTATTGGATCTAGTGACAGGATATTGGAAAACACTACAGAAAAACAGAAATTATTGTAAAGCCTTGGGGCCCTCAGTTTACTGGTAATGTATCACTAACCTGTGAAAGCTTTCACTGCATCCATTACCTGTTTCATAACAACTTTTCCATCAGCTGAAAGACAACACACAAATTACACTCATATGTAACACTAAAGATGAGAAGTGAGCAAAAAAGTTTAGTAATCATCACCTGTTATGGAATTTTATCTTATTTTTCTTCTTCATTAGTGTGAAGAAGCAAAAAGTTTTATACTTCACAAACAGCTATGTTAACAATGTAACACTGACCTTTCTCCCTTTAAGATATTAAAACTTATAGCCATAAAAGGAGGGTATATAAATGAAGTCCCTTCTATGTTACCTCCTTTTTAGCATTTAGATAGTAGGAAATTATTATTTACATAGGGTATGGGGAAAAAAATTAAAAGTCAGTATCCACATTATTTCAATGTTTCTTAAGTTTGGAAAACTTCCATTCATGTAGTCAGCCCATACTCACTACTTATTCATTATTACAATTAAATTGAAAAAAACCTCATCAACTCTTTAAATTACATTTGCGAGTTAGAAATAATTTAAGACATTCTAGAGGTTAACTATAGCCATTATCTGTAACAGATATTCAGTGGTTTGTTGCATCAGTTTTTAAAGGGACAATAAAATGGAAATGTTACATAGAATTAGCTCACTGAATCAGAATCTTAATTGTATTGTGTTTCTAGAAATAGAAATGCAGCAAAAACATTTCTGCACTTTTATTTTCTGAATATTTACCTATTGTTTGGCTAACAACAGAAGACAAAATTTGAAACATAAACTACATTACTGAGAAAACATAACTAATATCATAACAAAAATCTATTATTATCTCAGAAGGGCATTTGAGCTAAAAGAGGATCTTTAAGGCAAAAGTTGACTGGCCCATATCTAGAATCATGTCTCTCTATATTAGTGTAAACTCAAGCAACAAATAAAATAAAGAAATAAAATGCATATGTTGCACTAGTGGATCAAAACTAGTGGAAGATGAAAGAGTAACTTAACAAAATGTCTTCTATAAAGGGCTTATCTCTGACAAATGGAAAGTGAGAAATGGCAAAGATGCCACTAAATGTCATTTGAATAAAGTGAGAAAAAATTGACTTGCCCAGTGGGAGTAGCTAAGTATGAAATGTTCCAGGTGAAACATTTCTTGGCCTTACTGGAATCTTCTAAGGTTCACGTATTCCAGTTCTTGTCCTTCCAAAGGGAATTGCTTTATGAACAGCCACGCTTCAACCTTACTTGATAATCGTACTTCTTAAAAACCAGAGCTTGTTTCTAAGGAACTGAAGTCTAATATTGGATGATGGAGTCTGGCTATCTCATCTGGGAATCCCTTAAAGCCCTCTGAGGAGGGAGAACATGTCAAACATGCTGGCCAAATTGCAAATAACTTTGCTGTGTGACAAGGGTCCAAGAGCAAACAAAAAAGGTGACATATTATCTCTTTCTCTGTATTTTAAATCGCTAGGGGAGTATGGTCTCTGTAAACTTGAAGCAATTTTGGGTGAAATTTTGATCATTGTGCCCATTAGGCTTTCTCTGTTTCTCCTTTATTTCTATTTGACCTTTTGAAATACTCTTACATTCTAGGTCATGGGTCCTGCCATCTGCACCCTCTTTCCACAATTTTTCTTTTTTCTTGCCTCCCTCATGGCCCTACACTGATCCTGGTGACATTCTCAGCAATGTGTAGACTTCACAGTACAAGAAACCACTAATATAAGTTGATATGAACGTCAAGAGAAAAGGTCTGTTCTTTATATACATACATACATATGCACACATACATGTATACATACATACATATTTATTTTTGTATATACATATTCATCGAGGGAGGAGACAGAGAGAGAGAGATAGAGCACAAGCAGAGGAGGGGCAGAGAGAGAGGGAGAGATAAAATCCAAAGCAGACTCAGTGCTGTCAGCACAGAGATTGATGTGGGGCTGGAACCTACAAACCGTGAGATAATGACCTGAGGCAAAATCAAGAGTCAGATGCTTAACCCACTGAGCCACTCAGGTGCCCCGAGAAAAGGTTTGTTCTACTTATTGGGTCCTTCTCAAAGTTTTTCTGAATGACTTGATGTCAAGTAGATGTTTTGAAGAGGTTTGCAAGTACAATCCCACAAGCTTTTAGAGAGACTGAATAATAATAGTAATGATTATAATAATAACAAAATGATGATAATAAAAAGCAACTTCACTGAACACTATTATGTGTCAGGCTCTGGTCTACTTTAATCCTTACTAACACTCTTATTAAGTAGGTGCCATTAATGTACCCCTTTCACAGATAAACAAAAGCAGAGAAACATTAAGGTGTCATAATTTTAAGTAGAAGGGTCAGAATTCAAACACAGTCAGTCAGTCTGGCTCCACAGTCTGTGCCTTTAACCACTGCACTAGTCTGACTCTCAATAATCAGTAGCCATCTGATGCTCACCATCAACATCAAAGGAGCTGTGTCACCTAAGGTCATGTCCCCTCTCAGAGAACAGCCTGTGTCCAATGACTCATTCATTGATGTGGGTGCAAAGACCCAGCCCCTCTAGTTTATCAGCAGAGGCTTCTGTAGCAAGTTCACTGCAGTGAACTTCCTCTGCCCAGTCCTGCTTCCCTAATCCCCTTACAGGTATTGTCCTGAGAGTATTTCCCCGAGAAACCTCTGGTATAGAAATCTCTGCTATAGGATGTGTTTCCTGGGATCGAACAAAGAAAACATGCCAACGAAAATGGCATACACGTTCTTTGTCAATTCTGAAACATGAGTAGGGAGGTTGATAAAAGTCTCCCTGTTTCCATCTTTCAGCTGGGATTTCAAGTTCCTGACCATTGGCATGGACTCATGGAGACTTGCCCAGAGTTGTGGGAATCCATAGTGTCAAGAGTGGGAGAAACATGACATACTTCCTACGATCACCACAATGGTCTTCCTCTGTGTAGCTGCTCTCTCCACTGAAGGGGCAGATTATTACTCCTTATTCCTTTTAGTTTTCTTGTTCAAATAGCTATGGGCAATATGACTATTGCTATTCACTTAGGAAATTCTTGGTGGCACTTTAGTAATTTTCAACTATTATACTTTATTCCTTGTATTCCTCATTATATTCTACTTCTATGTCTCCTCAGCTTCCTCTTACTTCATTCCTTTTACTTTTTCCTCTTTTCTGATTTATTATTCTTCTTTGCCCTGTGAGTAGTCCTAGAGATTGCCTTGAACTTAGCTCCACAGTGCAAAAGGCTGTCATGAAGTTGATGAGGCTGACTAGAGAAAGGATGGAGTCTTACTCTAAGCCTATTTTTTCCTCTTTAAGTTTCTTTTCTAAATGGCTTTATGATTCCAAATAATCATACTCAGAGGTTTTTACAAAAAACAAAAACAAAAACAAAAAAAGCTGCACAAGTTCCGGGGCTCCTGAGGATCACAGTAATGTTTACATGTTTACCATTCACTGGCAGATTCTGTGTCAGATCTTTAAGTCGCTCTTCTGTGAGGCTCATGCCCATATTTCTCAGCAATGTATCCAGCTTGTTGACGTCAACCATTCCTCCTTGGGGAAGAGATATGTATATAAAAAAATTCAAGGAATGTTGCTCCAAAGAGTGACAAAACCACTAATTCTTATGTATTATGAATAACCTTTTTGGCATAAGGGACTAGGGCCCAAGGCTCAGTATATTTGATTAAAATGGTATCAAGAAACAATAAGAGACATAATGATCAAAGCCTCTTCAAATAAATCTGGTTTCAAGGACTAATATACACAAAGTTTTCAAGGGGAAAATTAATTAATTTGATTTTTTTAATGTTTATTTATTTTTTTATTGATAGATTAGAGAGAGAGACAGAGTGTGAGCAGGTGAAGGGCCAAGAGAGTAGAAGGCACAGAATCCAAAGCAGGCTTCAGGCTCTGAGCTGTCAGCACAGGGCTCAAACTCATGAACTGCGAGATCATGATCTGAGCCAAAGTCAGATGCTTAACTGACTGAGCCACCCAGGTGTCCCCAAAATTAGTTAATTTGAAAGTTACAGCAGTTGCCCCTTATCTGCGGTTTTAGCTTTCTGCAGTGTCCATTACCCACTGTCAACCTAGGTCTAGAAGCAGATAATCTTTCTGACATAACATCAGAAGATCAATAGTAGTCTAACGCTACATTACAGTGCCTACGTCATTCACCTCTCTTCATCTCATCATGTAGGCATTCCTTCATCTCACATTACAAGAAGGGTGAGTACAGTACAATCAGATACTTTGAGAGAGAGAGACCACATTTGGGTAACTTTTATTACAGTATATTGTTATAACTGTTCTATTTTATTATTAATTATTGTTGTTAATCTCTTACTGTGCTTAGTTTATAAATTACATTTTATCATAGGTACATTTGTAGAGGAAAAATACATAGTATATACAGGCTTCAGTATTATCCATGCTTTCAGACATTCACTGGAGGTCTTAGAACACATCTCCTGTGGACAAGGGGGGATTACTCTATAGTCAATTCACTATGGACATGACAACTCATATATTTTTTGACCAATAAGTAAAGTTTATTTTTGTTAGCTGAAACTTCACATTATTTCTACTAATGACCAATAATGACCACATTACTTGCATAACTAAATCATTCCTTAATTAAAAAAAAATACTGGTGTGCCTGGGTGGCTCAGTTGGTTAAGCGTCCAACTTCAGCTCAGGTCATGATCTCCCAGTTCATGAGTTCAAGCCCCACGTCAGGCTTTATACTGACAGCTCAGAGCCTGGAGTCTGCTTCAGATTCTGTGTCTCCCTCTCTCTCTCTGCTCCTTCCCCACTTGTGCTCTGTCTCCCAAAAATAAAAAACATAAATTTTTTGTTTAAATATGGCCATAGGCTTCATTCATTTTTTCTTCTAAGTTCAAAAAAATTACCCAAGAGTATCAGACTTCTTCCCAGGACACAAAAATAAAAATATAATGGCAAATTACAGGTTTATAGAAGGAGTATGGGTATAAAGTCAATATATATGTCCAGTGATAATATTTGAAATTTAATGACTGGAGAAGAGTAGAAAAAAAAAAAACTTGAGAGATTTCAGATCTAGTTGTATTTTATCATCATTCTTACTTACCTCTGAGAGATTTCACACCATCCATCAACCTATTTTGATAGATCTTTCCGTCTTCTGTAAGAAATTACACAATTCAGATCACAAATTATGTAGAAATTCACTAAGATAAAAATAAGAGAGCTAGTATTTTTAGAAGATATATTTCATCATTTACACTAGAAATATCCAATTTACTCTAAAGTAAAATAAAATAAAATAAAATAAAATAAAATAAAATAAAATAAAAACAAAGAAGATACATAATGCAGACATTCTACCTACCCATGAGCAGTAGGGGCAGTTACTGTTGGCTAACTCCCATAATGAAACATACCCTTTTTCATTTCTTTCTTTGATTTACCTTTTTCTTCACCTGTAGTGGACACTTCCTGTTTGTCATACTTAACAGTTTAATTTTTTGCCTCTCAGTGGACTCAAAAGTGACAATATGAAAAATTTCCCCCTAATGGTAGGATTCATGGTGCTGTATTTGTTATTCCTAAACTCAGATGAAATTTCTTCATTTTAAGGCAGAGCAAGGTCATGCTCATATATTTCAAGATATATATTCTTTCTCCCATGGTCAAATAAAGACAAGTTTTGACCTTTTCACGAATATGTAACAATATGTTCCCTAAAGTCTATACTAGTTACTTGACATTCTTACCATTTATTGGTAGATTTTTCAGCAGCTTCAGCCACTCCTTTTTTGTGAGCTCTATCCCCATGTTTCCTAGAACATTTCCCACATCACCGACATCGATATCCCCTCCTTCAAAAACACAAGATGCAATCAGGGAAGAAGTTTAAGGATGACCCAGTTTCAAAATGTGAAAAAAATCATCTCAGCCAGTTCCCCACAAACTTCACTGCTTGATGAAGAGCAAAGGCAGAGTGTGACATATCTAAATATATAACCAGTAGCATTCATGTGAATAAATCCCTTCCCTTAACACTACTAAAATGACTCACATCATATTAGTGGAAAGAAAATAACACAATTACAAAAAGTGTGGACTATCAACATAAGAAAATGAGGGTTACATATTTTTTCTAGTGAATTAGGATTTTATTAGGATCAATCCTAATAAATAATTCTGTCACCAAATCAGACTATTTTTCTGGTCATCATTTTTTTAAATAGTTTATTGTCCAGCTGGTTTCCATATAACACCCAGTGCTCATCCCCACAAGTGCCCTCCTCCATGCCCATCATTCCCCTTCCCTTCCCCCCCACCTCCATCAGCCCTCAGTTTGTTCTCAGCATTGAAGAGTCTCTCATGGTTTGCCTCCCTCCCTCTTCCCCATCTTTAAATAATATAATCACCTATATCTTTATCAGAGCTTTACTATACTATTCATTGATTTAATATAGAATATTTTCCCCAATATAGGAAAGGTGATATATTAATGTCAAATTAATAAAATTTTTGCTATCAAGACACAGAATTGAAATAATTTATTTTTATTTTGAAAGAGAGAGAGAGAATGAGTGGGAGAGGGGCACAGATAAAGGGAGAGAGAGAAATCCCAAGCAGGCTCTGTGCTGTCAGGGCAGAGCCCAATATGGGGCTCTATCTCATGAATCATGAGACCATGACCAGAGCTGAAATCAATAGTGAGATGCTTAACGAACTGAGCTACCCAGGAACCCCAAAACTGAAACTTTATTACTAACATGTAAACATTTAAAAGTCTAATTCTAAGAAATTAGATTAAAAAAACATTCTATCAAATGAAGGATAAAATGGTAGATAAACAAAGAAATAAAAAAGTCTTTGAAATATAACTTTGAGTAAAACGTATACTCTGAGATTTATATTAACTTCTCACCTGTAAGAGTTTTCACTCCATCCATCAATTTATCAAGATCAATCTTCCCATTATCTGTAAGAAAAGGTAAAGATCAGAATAATAAAAAGACTCAGAGTAGGAAAGAGTAGGAAAACCTTATATTGTAAAAGTCCACTTCTTTTCATTGTGCCCTATGACAATCTTCAACTTATACATCCAGTTTTTCAGAAATTCTATAATAGAAGACATACCCTAGTCCCAATCAGCAGCGAGCAAACTATATAGTCCATTGGCCAAATCCAGCCCACTGCCATGTATTTTTTTATTTTTCACCACCTATTTTTATATGGCCTATGAGCTAAGGATCATTTTTACATTTTCAAATGGTTGAAAAATCCAAAAGGATATTATTTTTGTATAAAAATATTTTATACAAATGTTAAATTTGTATAAAAATTATACAAATTTCAAATTTTAGTGTCTCTAAATAAATTTTTATTGGAATACAGACACACTCATTTGTTTACACATTGTTTACTGCTGCTTTTATACTATAACAGTAGAACTGAGTGGTATGACAGAGATCATATCATCCACAAAGCCTAAAGTATTTATTATTTGCCATTAATAGAAACATTGCTGACTCTGCCCTAGATGATAGAATCCACTGAGAGACAATTTATACTCCTGAGTTGTTTAGATTCCCCCTACTTTATAAACATGGAAGAAACTATTGATGTTGGCCATGTTTTATGACCTTGCTTAATTATAGTATATTCATAGAGCTTACTTATCCTTGTATAATAAAATGGAAATGGAATAAAAGGAAAAATAATACTTTTAGTAATCTTTCATACACCCCAAATAATTTTTTTAAAAAAGTCTTTTCATTTATTATGATAATCATGGAATGGCTAGTGACACATGACTGGTATATTTTTGAAGCAACTGTTAAAAGACTTTATTCATCTCATTATAGACCAATTTCCCCTTTTTTCCCCTTATTTTCCACTACTTTTATTTATTTAGTCATCATATATTATTTACTGACAAGTGATCAAGAAGTCCCTAAGAAGAGGTGTGGTGTTTAACAGGGTCACAAAGATCACCACTGAAGCTACTAGGTTGGCTTGTCACATTTCCACAGATTTTGAGGGTAGTGGGACAATGAGCCCAAATGGATTAAGAGACTCTGTTACTTATACAGAAGAAGCAAGATCAGCATGGTGTTGGATCTCTGCCACTTTAGTCCCAGAGGACCACAGTGGACCAGCTGGACAGTTGACTGGTGGCACATACAATGAGTTGTTCTGCTGCCGGGGAGCTCACTCAAATGGTAGCCAATGAGTTTTATAGACTTCTACAGAAACCTGCAGCTATATCCTAAGGGAGAGGGGTGGGAAGTTGGGTTCAACTTGGACTAGGGAAAAGAATGAGAAATGACCTGGTGACCATCTCCTGCAGACAGGGAAGCAGATGGAGAAGCTGCTTGGAGGCAGCTCCTGCTTATCTGCCCTTGCTTCAGCAGGAATCATAATGCTTTCAAAAAAGATTTAGGTAAGACTGTGGTCAAGATGTATTTATGTGGCCTATGTGGAGATGTGCAAAGTTGTCAGAGAAGAGTCATTTCCCTCAAGTTACATACCAAAATTTGAAATATGCTAGATCTTAAGGGTACAAAGATAATTAAAGTATACTTTCTACTTTCAAGGACTTCAGAATTTAGAAAAACTGGTATGCTGAGTCAATAAAATTCAGAAATAGTATACTGTTATGGAAGACTCTGATCAAATTGCCTGAAGTTTCCCCATAAACACCATGTAGTAATTTTATTTTTCCATATATAACAAGTTAAAATAGGAGATTATTCTTAAGCAAAGTATTTTATTTTTCTAATATAACTTATTGTCAAATTGGCTTATATATAACACCCAGTGCTCATCCCAACAAGTGCTCCCCTCAATGCCCAACACCCTATTTTCCCTTCTCCCTCAACCCCCATCAACCCTGTTTGTTCTCTGTATTTAAGAGTCTCTTATGGTTTGCCTCCCTCCCTCTCTGTAACTAGATTTTCCCCTTCCCGTCTCCCATGGTCTTCTGTTAAGTTTCTCAAGATCCACATATGAGTGAAAACATAGGATATCTCTGTCTTTCTCTGACTGACTTATTTCACTGAGCTAATACCCTCAGTTCCATTGCTGCAAATGGCATCCTTTTATTCTTTCTCATTGCCAAGTAGTATTCTATTGGATATATAAACCACATCTTCTTAATCCATTCATGAGTTGAAGGACACTTAGGCTTTTTCCATGATTTGGCTATTGTTGAAAGCACTGCTATAAACATTGGAGTACATGTACCTCTATGCATCAGCACTCCTGTATCCCTTTGGTAAATTCCTAGCAGTGCTATTGCTGGGTCATAGGGTAGTTCTATTTTTAATTTTTTGTGGAATCTCCACATTGTTTTCCAGAGTGGCTGTACCGGTTTGCATTCCCAACAGTACAAGAGGGTGCCCCTTTCTCCACATCCTTGCCAGCATCTATAGTTTCCTGATTTGCTCATTTTAGCCACCCTGACCGGTGTGAGGTGGTATTTCAGTGTAGCTTTGATTTGTATTTCCCTGATCATGAGTGATGTTGAGCATCTTTTCATGTGTCTGTTGGTCATTGGGATGTCTTCTCGGGAAAAGTGTCTACTTATGTCTTCTGCTCACTTCTTCACTGGATTATTTATTTTTCAGGAGTGGAGTTTGGTGAGTTCTTTATAGATTTTGGATGCTAGCCCTTTATCCAATATGTCATTTGCAAATATCATTCCCCATTCCATCGGTTGCCTTTTACTTTTGTTGATTTTTTCCTTTGCAGTGCAGAAGTTTTTATCTTGATGAGGTCCCAATAGTTCATTTTTTCTTTTACTTCCTTTGCCTTTGGAGATGTGTTGAGCAAGAAATTGCTGCAGCTGAGGTCAAAGACGCTACTGCTTTTAAACAAAGTATTTTAAATATACATATGTCCTATTGTAAAAAACAGATTACAAACTGTAATAAGAATATGAAAATATTCTGAATATTTTCTGAATAAGAAAATCATCTAGGCCTGGAAATCTGCTAATTTGTTTTTTTCTTATCATTTAAAATGTTTTATATTTATTGAATGATGCTTAGAATTAAACAGATTTTTAAAAATATCACTCTTATGCAGGGGCACCTGGGTGGCTCAGTTGGTTAAGCATCCAACTTCGGCTCAGGTCATGATCTCACGATTCATGAGTTTGAGTCCTGCATCGGGCTCTGTGCTGACAACTGGGAGCCTGAAGCCTGCTTCAGATTCTGTGTCTCCCTCTTTATCTGCTCCTCCCCTGCTTGTACTCTATCTCTCTCTCAAAAATAAATAATAAACATTTTTTAAAAATAAAAAAATAAAATATCCCTCTTATGTAAACATAAAAATATGTGAGATAAACTTGCAATTACTTTAATTTCATATTTAGAGTTTAATTCTTTTGAATCACCGTACAACTCTTCAACTCAGAATCACTGGTGTCTACTCTTGTCTACAAAATATTGTCCAGTGTGCTATCAATAGCAGCATTTTTTTTTAGATGAGGGATCCACTAGAGTATTTTTAAACAATAAATTAAAAAAAAATTTTTTTAGTATAGTTGACACAACGTTATATTGGTTTTAGGTGTATAACCTAGTGATCTAGCAAGTTTTTATACGTAATGCTATGTTCACCACAGGTGTAACTACCATCTGTCACCATACAACGCTATTACAGTATCACCGACTACATTCCTTATGCAGTGTCTTTTATTTTTATGACTTACTCATCCATTACTGGCAGCCTGTATCTCCTTCCCACTCCTCTGCATCTGTTTTGCCAATACTTGCATCTCCACCCCTCTGGCAATCAGTTTGATCTGGGTATTTATAGGTCTGATTCTGTTTTTTATTTATTCATTTTTTAGATTATACATGTAAGTGAAATCATATGATATTTGTCTTTCTCTGTGTGACTTATTTCATTTAGCATAATACCCTTTAGGTCCATCCACGTTGTTCCAAAAAGACAAGATCTCATCTTTCTTATGGCTGACTAATACTCCAGTGTGTGTGTGTGTGTGTGTGTGTGTGTGTGTGTGTGTCTTTGTCTATTCATCTATTGATAGACACTTTGGATGTTTCTATATCGTGGCTATTATAAATAATACTTCAATAAACATGGAGTGTATATATCTTTTTGAATTAGTATTTTCATTTTCTTTGAGTAAATACCCAGTAGTGGAATTATTGGATCATATGGTATTTCTATTTTTAATTTCTTGAGGAACCTCCATTACTGTTTCCCATAGTGGACGTACCAATTTACATTCCCATCAATAGTGCATGAGAGTTCCTTTTCCTCTACATTCTCACCAACACTTGTTATTTCTTGTGTTTTTGATTTTAGCCATTCTGACAGGTGTGAGATGATATTTCATTGTGGTTCTGGTTTGCACTTCTCTGATAATGAGAGATACTGAGCATCTCTTCTTGTTGGCCATCTGTGTAACTTCTTTGCAATAGTGTCTATTCAGGTCCTCTGCCCATTTAAGAAATCAGATTGTTTGGGTTTTGTTTTGTTTGTTTGTTTTTTGGTGTGAGTTGTATATGTTCTTTATATATTTTGGATATTAACCCCTTATTGGATATATCACTTGCAAATATCTTCTCCCATTTAGTAGGTTGCCTTTTAGTTTTGTTGATGGTTTCCATCACTGTGCAAAAAAGCTTTTGATGTACATTTTGAGGTAGTCCTAATAGTTTACTTTTGCTTTTGTTTCCCTTGTGTTAGAAGACATATCTAGAAAAATGTTGCTACAGCTAATGTCAAAGAGATTAGTGCCTGTGTTCTCTTCTAGGATTTTTATGGTTTCAGGTCTTACAGCTAGGTTTTTAATATATTTTGAATTTATTTTTGTGTATGGTATTAAAGACTGGACCAGTTTTATTATTTTATATGTAGCTGTCCAGTTTTCTGGACAAATGGCCCAGCATTACCATTTGTTGAAGAGACTGTCTATTCCCCATGATATATTCTTGTCTCCTT